GGCACTCTACTATGAAGCTATATTCTCAGCCCTTTTTGAGACAGGGTCTGGCTAAGTGACCTTGAACTTGCGATCCTCTACCTCAGCCTCCAGTGTGGCTGGGATTACAGGTGTATGTCACAGGGTCTGGAACAGGGGCAGGCTTTTTACAAAGATTCCAGAAAATAATGATGATGAGGATGGGGATGATAATTAAATAAATATGCAAGATTTTCTTAGTCAATAAGAATGAATAAATGCCCTCTTTATAATAATATAATATAAAAATTAATTTGGTTTGGAAAATTCATAACTGACTTGATATTTAATATCTCTCCATATATATATAGATATATATATATATAGGTTGGGAGTATCAAAGGAAATACTTAGCTATTCCAAGCTCACCCAAGGCTAACTGAGGCCAGTATGTAATTCTCTTCATTAGTGGGTAGGTGATGACAAGAAGTAAGGATGCTGCTCCCAGAGCTATACTGAAAACAGAAAAACAGGATTAATCATTAGAAACAACTAAGTATTTTAACACATTAGTAATACTAAGTGGAAGATATTTTTATCTTAAGTAATATTTTCTGTAATGTAAAATTTTCTTCCTAAACTTTGACTTTTTCTATTAAAGGACTAATTAGAAAAATATTTTAAGTGTTATTAAAAAATCCCAACAAAATAACAAATAACACACATAGTACTCTTATACTAGGCACTATTCCAGGTACTTTACATTTGTTAAGTCATGAGAATCTTCACAATGACCCCAAGAAGCAGGAGGCTTTATTCTCATTCCTTTTTATAGATGAGAAAACTGTTACTTCTCAGGAAAAAGAAAGCAACTATGAAACCATAAGATGTTCTTAAATACCCAAATTTCAGCTGGGCATGGTGGCACACACCTGTAATCCCAGCAGCTCGGGAGGCTGAGGCAGGAGGACCACAAGTTCAAAGCCAGCCTCAGCAACAGGGAGGCGTTAAGCAATTAATTCAGTGAGACCCGTCTCTAAAGAAAATACAAAATAGGGCTGGGGATGTGGCTCAGTAGTTGAGTGCCCTTGAGTTCAATCCCCGGTACCAAAAAACACCCAAAACAGAACAAAACAAAAAAACCCCAAATTTCATCTAACACCATCTCTCCAGGAATAACCTTCTAAAAGTGCTTTTATGCTACCAGGGCAAGACATGTATTTAAGACCAGTTTCTATAAAGTAATACTTATATGCTGAAACCTCTCCAACCCCAACACACACACACACACACACTCTCTCTCTCTCTCACAGCCTTGAGGTATTCTGTAACAGTCTTCTTATACATACATTGTGTCTCATTTTAAGAGATCTAGGAGTCCTCCCACTTATTTCTTCTGTCATTCATTAGTTACATGAAAGACACAGTTCCTCTTACTGAAAATGATTCTAATCACTCCTGCTTCCATGTACTTCAGAAAAAATTATCAGCATAAATCAAACTACATATACATGTGGGTGTATACACACTTATAAAACCCAACAAAGTACCTTGTGTTCCTCTGGGAACACGTTGTACAAACAATGAAGGTGGTTCAGAACAAATTAAATGATGATCTCTTAACTCCTTTGGCTGAGAGCATCCTTGAAGCAGATTTTAAAATGTGTGGTAGTTTACTGTATTTATGCTTGCTAACTTATAGATGCTTGTCAGGTAGCCAATAAGCAACTTCGTGATAAAACTATTTCTATTTTACTTTTTTTTTACTTTTTTCATTTCAAAGAAGAGATTTTTACACATGATTATGAAAACACATTTAATATACCTGTAGTAATTCAAACACAGAAGAATACCCAGTGCCAAGGTCAGCTGTCCTCCAAGAAAAACAAAGGATTGAAAAATTGAAATGTCTCCAGCAGCTATTGGACGATTTGCTGTTCTTGTAACCTTAACACATAAAAATAGATGTTAGCCTCATTTAATGACTCATTTATTTAAATACTTAATCAAATGTTTGGCCTATGGTAGGCACCAAGGTACAAATATAAATAGAAAGAAAACAACATTTGAAGTACTGCCAAGAATTAGAACTGCATCTTGAAAAAGCTTTGAAAAGAGCTCAAGATTACCATCCCCTATTTCCCATCTCCATCTCCATCAAACCAATCAAAGCAATTACTTTATCTAGTTTTTTTTTAGCTACTCAGCATAACAAATACACAAATTCAATTTCCATAAAAAAAAGATGCACAATACTAATGAGAATTCTCAGGAAAGAGGAAACTGCAAGAGAGGTTAATATCACATGAATGTTTTGAGCACAGGAAGCATTACCCTCAGAATTCAGACATTAGAAAGAAGACATATATCTGGGCTTGTAAGGGGGGTGCTTTTGCCAGGTTACTTAAGAATGTGTCTATATATTCAATCAACTATACCCAAATGCTAAGGGCAAAACCACTCTGAAGAATGTGAATAGACAGAGCTGTTAAATAGACAAATTATATATACTAACTGTTCTTTTCCTTCAGGAAATGTGATTATCTTAAATTCAACCACAAATAAAGAATATAACCAAAAATTTCAAAATTGCCAGAAGTTAAAAATTCAGAATCCGGGATCTACGAACTCAGCATTTGAATCCATCACTTACTGGCTGGGTGAATTCTGGCAAAAGACTTAAGCTCTTCTAGCCTTAGGTTACTTATCTATTAAAGGAAAAATAGGAAGAAATAATAATAGCACCACCTTATAGAGTAAATGCACTGAGGCATGTAAGTATGCAATAAATATTACCAATTGTTAACAACATATTTTTTTATGACTGATATCAAAGGTTATGTTTTGTAGGGCAAACACAGTCTACTGCCTACCTCTGTGCAGCCAATGAGCTAAGAATGGTTTTTAACATTTTTTAAATGGCTGGAAATATTTTTTTTTAAAAAAAGTAATGTAACATTAAAATAACATGAAATTCAAACCTCAATGTCTATAAATAAAGTTTTATTGAGAAACACAGCCATAATTTTTTATATATTATATATGTATGCTTTCACACTCTAACAAAGAATTGATTATTTGCAACAAGGCAACTTGGCTTACAAAGCCTCAAGTATTTACTAACTGGTTCTTTATAGAAAAAGTCTGCCAATTAGACTTATATGTTTCATTATGCAATAAAGCGACTTATCCAAAACTGTAAAGATACATCCTAGTTAGAGTACCAGACTTGGATCTTTATCCCTGATACGGTTCTAAAGTTTGAAATTGGAAATAGTATTTGTTTTTGTATTTATTTCAAGATATCATCATTATTCTAACAAGTTAATGAGTGTTCACAATGTGCTACTATTCCAAGAGCCATAATTGCATCCTTTCACTCAATCCTCATAGTCATTCACAAGTTCTTAAAACTACTCATGTTAATGAAACTGAGGAAGAGGCTTTGTAATTTTCCAAGGTCACAGATTCTAAAGGATAGCAGTCAGTCCATCCTAATAACCGCATCACTAACCACTGATACAGTAGTACAGAATTACCTAACTAAATTTGAAAGCTTCAAATAAGCAAGATTCCATCAAGAATAGAGATGATATGACACATTGGTCAAAACATATTCTATGAAACCAGAACATGAAGAGCTTAAGTAACCAACCAGAAGAGCTTAAGTAATTTGCCAAAATTCACCCAGCCAGTAAGTGATGAATTCAAATACTGGGTTCTCAGATCCTAGATTCTGAATTTTGAACTTCATTGAATGCCTGAAACAGCAGAGAATACCAAACCCTAAGTATACTATGCTTATAATATTCCTGAATATACAGAAGGTATATTTACAGATTAGACACAGTAGGATATTAACTACAACAATTAAAAATGAAATAAAATCATAACAATACACCTTAATAAAAGAGAGTTCACCATCCTACTCAGAATGGTGCACAACATAAAACTTACAAATTGTTTATTTCTGTGATTTTCCATTTAATGTTGTACTTGACGTTGGATAATTTAAACCTCAAAAGGCAAAACCAAGGATAAAGGGAACTCCTATATAACCAATGCTTACGGGACTGCCTTTGTTTATTTAAATTAACATTTGATAAGTAAGCATAGTTAGGGCATCACATACATCTCAATGAAAGGGACAGATCTTTTGGACACTAAAAGGTTCAGGAGGGATTTTTCACTTTTACTCCTACCCTTTATCTCCTTTACCCTCAGTCTTCCAAATTCTTGTGAATTAGCTTTGCCAAAATGAAGTGCATGGGCTGGGGTTATGGCTTAGTGGTAAGTGCTTTTCTAGCAAGTGTGAAGCACTGGGTTCAATCCTTAGCACTATATACAAAATAAATGAATAAAATAAGGGTATTGTGTCCATCTACAACTAAAAACCTTTTTTTTTTTTTTTTTTGTAAAATGACGATCAGTTTGCCCCATGCTACTCTTGTGTCAAGGAAGAAAGTAAACTGCACTTTGCAATACCAACTTTTCAAGTGACACTGACATTTCTCATGCTGGCTTTTAGTGAGGACACTAATTGATCCTGTTGCTTTTTATGGCATTCAAAAGTAATGCCACCATGTTATTCTGTAGAATTGAGATAAGCCACTCTGTTATTTTTCAGGATAAAACTACCTTTTTATCGTAGTCATGATCCCACATGTCATTAATAGTACAGCCTGCTCCACGCATCAGAATAGCTCCAGTGCCAAAGAGGGATAACATGTACCAATCTGGAAAACAACCTGGTTCAGCTGCCAAACCAATGCTCCAGGTACATGGCAAATACAGTAGCCAGGTTCCTAAGCAAAAATATAAACACAAAACAGGTACAAACACTCATCAGTTAACTGTTTTTATTTGTTTAAACGCTACATGCTACTGAATTAAGGAGCACTATAAGCAAAGTAAAAAAATACATGACAGAACTGGGAAAACAAATATTACAAAGGATTGTTCTCCCTAATATGTAAAGAGCCCCTAGAAATGAAGAAGAAAGAGATCAGTAGTCCAACTAAAAATGAATAAAAGATGTAATAAAAGTTTGCACAAAAAGATATACAAATGTCTCTTATTCACAAGAAGAGACACTCAACTTTAAGAAACACATTAAAACTACATTGAGACATTTTTCACCTGTGAGACTGGCAAAACCCAAAGTCTGATGACATACCCTGGGAGTTAGACACTCATGTATTTCTGATGAGGTTATAAAATGGTCCTACCCTTATAGAGGATAACTTAAAAACTGTTATGCTATGAATTTGTATAAAACACATCTATGTATAAAATACATACATGTGTTAGTATGTTCACATACTATGTCAGTAAAGGCACATTAGAAACATAATAATTGCTTCTGGAAAGGGGAACTGCATGAATAAGAGGGGCGTAAAACTTATTTTTCACTCCAGCCTGGCAACTTCTGAATTCTGTATCATTTGCACATAATAGCTGCTCAAAAAAGTTAACTTTACAATTAGTACAATACACTGAGATGGTCTTGGAGGAGAGGAGTTACTAGCATACAGCTATTTGTTATTTGTAATATATGTTACAACTACATGTACAAACAGAGTTAATTCTTAGTATTTAACCCACAAACTAGATGAAATTAAGCAAATAGATTGGGTTATTTGTTTTTTGGTGTTTAGCTTTTGAGTTCTTTATATACCCTAGAGATAGTGCTCTACTTGATGTGTGAGGGGTAAAAATTTGCTCCTGAGATGTAGGCTCTCTATTCACCTCACTGTTTCTTTTGCTGAGAAGAAGCTTTTTAGTTTGAATCCATCCCACTTATTGATTCTTGGTTTTAATTCTTATGCTATAGGAGTCTTATTAAGGAAGTTGGGGCCTAATCTGACATGATGAAGATTAGGGCCTACTTTTTCTTCTATTAGATGCAGAGTCTCTGGTTTAATTCCTAGGTCCTTGATCCACTTTGAGTTGAGTTTTGTGCATGGTGAGAGAGAGGGGTTTAATTTCATTTTGTTGCAAATGGATTTCCAGTTTCCCCAGCACTATTTGTTGAAGAAGAGGATATACAGTCAATCGACAAATATATGAAAAAACATTCATCATATCTAGCAATTAGAGAAGTGCGAATCAAAACTACTCTTTAATCACCTCACTATAGCACTATATACAAAATAAATGAATAAAATAAGGGTATTGTGTCCATCTACAACTAAAAACAGTCAGAATGGCTGCTATTATGAAGACAAACAACAGTAAGTGTTGGTGAAGATGTGGGGAAAAAGGTACACTCACACATTGCTAGTGAGACTGCAAACTGGTGCAGCCATTATCGAAAGCAGTATGGAAATTCCTTGGAAAACTGGGAATGGAACCACCATTTGACTCTCCTTGGTCTATACCTAAAGGACTTAAAAACAGCATACTACAAGGACATAGCGACATCAATGTTTGTAGTGGCATAATTCACAATAGCTAAACTGTGGAACCAACCTAGATACTCTTCAGTTGATGAATGGATAAAAAAAATGTGGCATATATACACAATGGATTATTACTCAGCAATAATAGATAATAAAATCATGGCATTTGCAGGTAAATGGATCGCATTGGAGAAGATAATGCTAAGTGAAGTTAGCCAATCCTAAAAAAACAAATGTCGAATGTTTTCTCCCATATAAGGTGACTGACTCATAGTGGAGTAGGGAGGGGGAGCATGGGAGAAATAGATGAACTCTAGATAGGGCAGAGGGGTGGGAGAGGAAGGGAAGGGGCAGGGGGTTAACAAGGATGGTGGAATATGATGGACATCATTATCCAAAATACATGTATGAAGACACGAATTTGTGTGAACATACTTTATATACAACCAGAGATATGAAAAATTGTGCTGTATATGTGTAACAAGAATTGTAATGCATTCCACTGTCATTTATTTAAAAAGAATTAAAAAAGAAATTAAGCAAATAGATTATACAGATAAGACTTTACACATGAACTTCAATAGATAGTCTACTTTAAAAAGAAAGCCTGTCAACTAATGTTTGGATATGGTGCCAATTAGATAAAACTCTGAGTTTTCTTCCCTTATTCAGGACCAAGAGAAAAAGGATTCTGGGATAAATGAAGATAAAATCCTGCAAAAAAAAAAAAAAAATGGCCAAATGACCAATGTTCCCATAATCATTTATGAATGTAAATTTATTCATTTACAAATATTTATGAAGCACACACTTGTGCTAGGAAGCAGGAATACAATGGTGACCAAGAAAGAGCTGCATTCTGCCTTCATAATGCTTATAAATCAAAAGTAAGAAATTAATTAAATGAGCGATAATAATGAAAGACTAATCCAACAACTATACAGGAACAAGGTGCTACAAAGGGATAAAATAGAACTACCCAAGTTATTTGGGGAGGAGGTGAAGAAGAATCAGGGAATCTTTTCCAGTAGGTGCTTAATAAACTCAGAGCAGAAAAGTCAAGGAGAGGCCTCAAGCTAAAACTTGCGACATGCCCAGTGTCTGAATTTAGATTGTCCTGGAGAGATTCATATTTAGTGTATCCCACCTAAAATAATAACATTAACATTTACTGAATTTTCACAAAATGTCAGGCAGTGTTTCAAATATTTTTTATACATAAACACATCCAAATCTCAATAACATCCTCATAAAATAGATTCTATTAGTAATCCTATCTTACAAATGAAAAAACAGGAAAACAGAGGTTAAGTAAAAGATAATAGGTTTGTCTACTTCCTTTACCTTGGAGCCACCAGTAGAATTTGCAAGGAATGGAGATATTGCTGACATTATCATCCTAGCATAGAGAAGAAATAATTACTTCACAGCTATTATTTACTGGTGCAAGTAGAACTGAAGTTTCTAATAAAAAGAAAAAAAATCGAGATCAGGTCTGAGAAAAGATGGGCAGACCAAAGTGCCTGTAAAAAGTGAGCCTAATATTCATTTACTACTTGTGGATTAACTTTAAGAAAACATAATCACCCATAAATGAAGTAAAACAAAAAATTATACTGCCAATTTAGTGGAAAGAGCGCCACCTACTGAAACTTCTGTTGAAAGCCACCAACTGAAAAATGTTGATTGACCCATTTTAAAGAAGTTATTATGTCTTCAAAAACAATGAAATCTACTGCTTTATGAAAGTATCAAAATGTAGCTCTAAAAAGTAAAATAATGCATACAAAATTACCTTACAGGATAACTTAAACAAATAAATATTAAACAAGGAATTCTTTCAATTATTGTCCCTGGCATATGTAAGGGCTCAAAAATGTTTGTTGACTAAACTCTTTTTAAGTTTCCTGAAAAATTCTGTAATCATTTTATTTAGACTCAAAAGATGTATCTTAAGGATAGTATCTTAACGTATATGACCATAAACACAACTTTCTCTAATAATTACTTCTGGCTTATATTTCTTGAGTCCTTGTTGTATGCCAGGCACTTCCTGATAACCTTATGAAATTGTTAATAGTATCTTCACTTTATAGTTAAGAAATCAAGCCCAACTAAGGTCCTTCAAATGTGTGATGTAGAGATCCAAATCTAAGAGATCTGTCTCCAAAACTTGCTCATAAATTGTTTATAGCCTCCGGTTACATGGCAAAATGTTCAGTCAGTAAGACGGAAGCCAGAGGTTTAATTATGGAAATAATTAAACTATTGGTCTTTTTAGAATATCTGTAAATCTCTCATATATTTCTGTGATGCAGAATCCAAGAACAGATCTAACAGTGAAGCTTTAGATTAGAACTGGGCTTAGAAATTTATGCCTATAAACCTGAATCTGGCCCCCAAATGCAAGGGGGTCATTCCAACAATGACAGGGCTATGCCTATTATTTAATATATTTTTTACTTTAATTGCTAACTGTTATGACTCAGTTCTCTGGTTCCAAATAGGAGTACAAATCTAGACAAAACAAGCCCTAATTGAGGGTCTTGAATGGACAAAGACCAAGTGAATACATCTTAGGCATTCAAATGTGTTTCCATACCCTGATATGGCAAATGTCAACATCCACATCAGCTAGAATACAGCCTTATCCTCTTTCTCCTTGTTACTCATCTTCTTTAGTCCAGCCTTGTCTCCTGCAATTTTCTATACCCACTTGGGAGTTGCAGGTGAAGCTCATACTCTTACTGCTTCAACACTCCACCCTTGGATCTTTGCAAAAATATTTCCCCCACCAAGACCTCTTTCCTCCTCTGCAAAATCAAAATATTCTTTGGAGTACAATTTCTTCTTAAAACTTTTTGAAGTTTCTTTTTTTTTTTGAGACCCAAAGTAATATCTCTATTTTTTTCTGCAGCACTGTACTACTCCTATTTGATCCCATACTTCCCATTTCATCAACTATCTTTTCCAGACATACCAGATATCCTCGAAAGCAGGGAGTTTCCATAGCTCTTTCTATCCCTATGGCTAGGGCCATGTGATAAGAACTTATTAATTCAGTTAATACTATTGCCAAACAATGTTCTAGAGAGTAGACAGAGTTAAGTCCCAGGTATACGGAGCTTATGTTGCATTAGAGGAGTCAATAAAATAAGTGCATAGAGATAGTTAATGGTGAATGCTATGGAAAAAAAAAAAAAGAGGTAGAGTGAGGTGTGAGGTATTGAATAGGGGTCTGGCAAATCCTCTCAGCGGGCGATTATAACGTCCAGAAGGGATGTACCAACTGCCTTCAAATGTACTAAATCTTTGTGTTACGGGTGATTGGGGCGGGGGGGGGGGGAGGCTCAGCACTGAACCGCTAGGTTCTAGTCTGGGTCTGATGAGGACCCTTAGTTTCTTCAGTGTCTTGTCTTTAGTATTTGCCTCACAGGATTGTGGAGAGGATCCATCCCTCTAGTAACTGTAGAAGTGCTTCAACACTGAAAGGTTGCAAATGCGGGGCCACGAGAACGCAATGCTTCGACAGATTCACCATTTACACCAGTGGGATTTTTTTTCTTCTTGCCTGCCTCTGGGACTCAGGACTCGGGGTGAAAGTCGGCCGGTCCCTCCGGGGACCGTCCCGATCCTATAACGAGGTGACCCGTCCTAGAACACACGACACCGAGGCGCCAAGCCGGCTTTCTGGTGCTCATTTTCAATACGCCCGGGCCGGCCACCGCGGATAGTTCCGAGGGGTACACTCGGAGGACCGAGGCCCGCAGAGCCCCGGGTCGCTCTAGCGCGCACTCACCAATGGGCTTGTCCAACCGCATGAGGCGCAGATAGGGCTGCACAGGGCGGGGCGCCGAGCTCACGACCGCCGCGGCCGAAAGGCTGAGCGGGCGCCGGTGTAGCTGCGGTGGGGCTGGGGACAGCCAGTCCCCTGCGCGGGGCGCGCCTGCTGTGTGCGCCACGGCCAGCGCACGGCAACTCGAGTCCCGCAGCCATGCCGACGCCACGGCCCGCAGGCCCCGTGCAAGTACTACTCCCCGAAAGCCCAGCATGGCGCTAGGGAGGCCGCGACGCCGGGCGACGTCATCTTCCAGCGTCGGCTCGTGGGCAGGCATGCGCGGTGGCGTCAGGAGCAATGACCGTCCCTCCTGAGGCAGGTGGGTGGCCTTCAGGGTCGCTTTACCTTGTGAAGGGGTGTGTGGGGGTACATTCCTGTTATCAGTTTTCTCAATAGATGTGAAAGGAAAGTGTTCATTCACATGGAACAGTTGCACCCAGAGAAAAGTTGAGAAAAACTTACCAAACTTGGAAATTTTAGTTTGCACCCAGGTTCTTCCCTTTTAAATCTAAATGGCAAGTAGCCAAATAAATCCAAGAATGTAAATTGAAACTGTAGTCAAGGTCAAGGAACGTTCATTCCAATAGCGAAAACCTTAAATTTGACAGTCGTCCGAAAGAACTCCTGTAATGGGGAAGTAGCGAAAGTGTGTAATTCCAAGATCCTGAAGCCAGAACATCTGGTCGGCACACTTAATTGTGTAGTCTTCAGCACTGATGGATGGATGCAAGACAGTTCACATGTGATCCCATTTAATCCCTCATTGAGTGACCCTAGTCAAGTCACTTATCTGGAATTTCCCATTGTCTGGAATTTGCACCAGGGTCTCTCTTGATTTAAAATTCAAGAAGCGTCATGAATGCTCTTTCCATCTTTGGGGGGAAAGTGTGATAAAACAGTTATATTTTTGTAATACCGTCAATGCTAAAATGCCAAACTCCAGGAACGAGCAAAGCTCTAAAATGTCAGCCCTTGCTGACTGCAGATACAGGGTGTAGGCCTTTTCTACCTCTCCTGCACCACGTAAAAATCAGTGTTTTGCTGGAAGCCTTTGCCACAGAGGCACAGGAGTTTCTGTAGCCCAATCTTACTAAGAAACAATCTGGAGCTCCTGAGGCTGCACTGGCCCTGAGATGAGAGTATTCTTTGGGGATTTGAGTCTTCATGGGGAATCCTGTGGGCTTGGGGGACAAGGACCAGCAGTGCTGGGGGATACCACCTGACTAGCCATCCACTCTCATCCATGTGTTTCAATTCCTCCTCCTCCTCCTTTTTTTTTTTTTTTTTCTTTTGGTGCTGGGGTTTGAACCCAGGGCCTTGTACATGCAAGACAAGCATTCTATCAACTAAGATATATCCCCAGTGCCTTCTTCAAATGGCTTCTCAAACTCAATGAGGATGTTGCCTTGGCCTTTGGAAACATTCTTGCCTTTGGTAATTCTTGGCCTTTGGTAACACATTCTTTCTGTTAGTCCAACAGCACTTAGATGATCCCCAAATGTGGGAAATATCCATGTAATGTGATTCTAGTTAAGCTTCTTCAAAGCCTCCCATTGTGTATTTTCACAGATTTAGGGCAAAGGGTTCACCTTTTCCTTTCTTTTTCATCATTTTTAGGCAGTTGATATTTGGAATGAGGTTGCTGTCTGTTGTCCTGTCACTGGTGAGTTGAACCTGGAGAAGATAGGAGGAAATAAGGACTTCTAGAGTGGCTAGGCTTTGTCCTTCAGCTTGATGCAGAAATGCTGGTCCCAGTTCCAGTCAACAGGAATGTCCTTACATGGGGCTAAGCCTCTTTGGTTTCCTTGGTGACTGCCTTATTTTATCTTATTTTTGTGGAGTACCAGGGGGTTAAACTGAGGGGCACTTAACTACTGAGCCACATCCCAGCCCTTTTTTGTATTTATTTAGAGATAGGGTCTCACTGAGTTGCTTAGGGCCTCACTAAATTGCTTAGATTGGCTTTGAACTTGAAATCCTCCTGCCTCAGCCCCCTGAGTCACTGGGATTATAGGCGGTACCACCATATCCAGCCTAAGTGACTGCTTTATTGTGCGTGTGTGTGTGTGTGTGTGTGTGTGTGTGTGTGTGTGTATGTTTTGTTGTCAGATCAGGCGAGGCGGGCAGCAACCAAAGGAGGCAGATTTAAAAGGGCCACTGAACGAGGCTTTATTGAGACTCACTCCCCTGCGGAACTTGATCAGACCCACAGAGTGGACAGGGGAAGGGTATGAGGAGAAACCGCGTGGAAGCTCGACCAGACTGGACTTTTATGGGGCTTACTGCAGGAAGGGAAGGGCTTGGGACAGGAAAAGGTGTTTTTAGGGTCCTTTGTCCCATTGGAGTTGGTTAGGATTGGCCAGGGGGTCCTGCTGATTGACAGGTGTTTCCGAAGGCACCTGATTGAGGTTCTTTTCCTGCGGGGGG